AGCTTCCCAGTTTTCCCACCCAGTTGAAAGTTCAAGATCCTGCCTCAACACCCACAAGTTCATCACATGGTCCAATCTTCCACTGCCATAAAGACAGATTCCATCCATCCAGTTCCGGACAGGTCCAGAGACAAAGGATAACCTTGAGATTCTAAGAATCTTAAGATTCTTGTTATGGCTACATATCACCCAACTCCGTTTAATCCCCCCTCCCATTTTCCCGCAATAGAATTTGAATAGTAGAAAGTGTGGGGGCCCAAAGTCCAAAAGAAAAGATTGGAGGCCTGACACTTTTATCTTACTCTTTTACTGGTGATTGATTTAATTGTAATTGTTTTGATTTGATTGTTGTGAGCCAGCCAGGGTCATTCAGAATTGGGTGGTATATCAGTTTTGTAAATTATTACTAATATTAAGTCCTCCTCTAGGGTTGTGCCAGAGGTAGTAACAGACATTGATAGACTGTTGGACAGACAGTTTTTAGAGACATTCTGGAGAAATTGTCAGTTCATTTACGCTCTGCTCCTATACAAAAGAACCAAGCCCCATAGCAGCTGGGAACTCTACATATCCTTAATCTCTACATTATGGAATTGAGATTCTTTGTGCCAGAAAATAAATCTCCCTTTGCCTGGAATAGCTGTTTTGAATGCAAAGGGGAAAAATGCCTGTGTCAAGTGCCCACCATGGCCACGCCCACCTCACCACCACCCCAGCCCTCCGAGGTCAAATACAACCCTGATGTGGCCCTCCATGAAATTGAGTTTGACATCCCTGATCTAAATGACTGAGAATCTCTATAAGCCAGGGGTCCCCAAACTTGACAACTTTAAGACTTGTGGACTTCAACTCCCAGGATTCTCTGGGAGAATTCTGGGAGTTGAAGTCCACAAGTCTTAAAGTTGTCAAGTTTGAAGACCTCTGCCATAGACCCTTGACAAAGGGGGCATAGTTTTAGACTTTGTGTTAGGTGCAAAGCCACACTACTGCCTTGTCCAAAGTGTTCCTTCAGCATGTTTGCTGTTGTGATCTAACTGAACAGAAATTCGAGGAATTGGGCAGGTCTGACTATGAGAAAGATAAACGGAGAGGTGTTTTTCTTTGTGAGTCAGCGCCATTGCATTCCTTTCGGCCTTGTTTTCCTTGAGTCACATGGACCAATATGAATAGGTAAAAAGGACTGTCCTACTGCCATCGCCCTGTCTTCCCCACTATGAATGGAGAATCTGTACTGAGTGCTATTCTCAATTTTGTTGCCAGTTCTGCTTGGGCTCCATCAAACGGGAGTAGAAATCCCTTCTGAACTCCTGAGTTCTTGAAATGGACAGGCACAACATAGGGGAGAGGCCAGCAGGCATAATGGTTCTGACTTAGGCCTCCCGAGATCATGAAGCAGATTCCTTGTCCTGATAAAACTCCTTTTATTTAGCTTAAAGGGAATTCCTCTCCAACAAAGTCCTGGCCAACAGTCTTTCACAACTGTGGATCTTTATCGGGCTTGGAGAGTTGCCAGGTTGATATCTTCCAAATGCCACTCTGTAGCAGACAATACTTGGCAAGAAGTCAGGAGCAGATCTTCAGCCTAATGAATTGAACTAATTGTCTCCTGCAAACTCCACTCCCTTTTCGCTCTTTATTCCCTACCGGAGGGGCCATTCACCATTCACCTGTGACTTTACTCCCGAGTTGGCCCTTGTTCCTTAGCTTTTCCCTTTTCCTGGCAGCTCTGCATGGGCACATCGGGAACAAGCTCCAGCTGTTCATCTGCCTCACTGATGTCTGACTCCGAAGGCAGCTTATAACTGGCATACAGCCCTGGCTCCATCTCTGCCTCCGACACAGAGCCCTCATCAGAGCCTTCCCCAGAATCCAGGACTGGCCCATGTTCCTCCCCAACCTCCTCGCTGTCTGAATTTGCCGCAACAAATTCTGTGTACTAGTCCAGCCTATCTGGAGGGTAGTTGCG